GATTTATATATGAAGAAGCTCACTGCAAATAGAGCCTGGAGAGATAAATTCAAGCACAGGAATGTGTTTTAGAAAGACAGTCCTCTACCTGACAATTTTACTTCAGGACCTGCCCTAGGCATCATGTGCATTATTGCTTTTGTCTTTTGGTCAATTCTCTTTGCCCAGATAGTCCAATGGGGTTAGTTTAGGGTTTCATCTGTGCTAGTGGGAAGAGATGTTAAGCAAAACAGCAGGGCTTCCATCTCCCTTGATGTGAGTTCTCTCAGCATCATGCCAAGCTTTGGAAGGAGTCTTCCAAATGCTAGGAAAGGGGTGCTTTTTGAGTATTGGTCAAATACATTTTTTTATTAAATTTCTGGCAGTACCATCTCCTGCCGGTTAATTTCTTGGTGAATACATGTTCATTCTGTGAGACTAGATAGATTTTAAGATCCTCTTTGGCATCATTGTAATCTCCATTTTGAATCACTGCTCTGTCAATAGTTGGTTACTTTAAAGCTTAACTATTTCAGTCTTGGACTTCTTTTTCTGGGAAGTCACTAGGAACATGAAACTGTGGGCAACCTAAGCTTATTTTAAGTCTTTGCTGTCAAGTTAATTTGTGTGTTGTGGAAGTATAGACCTTCGAAGAAGTCCTGTATAAGTCCATACAAATATACCTAAGTCTTTGTTTACAGTTACAAGAAAATTAACTCCTCTGCCTTAAATAATTTGACTGTGTAATGAAAGTATTTAGGTTAAAACTGAGGTTTTTACCTCTGAATAAATCTAATCTTATATTTGAATACCAGTGAAATTTGAGACACATAAAAGTGATTCTTAATGTCACTTTAAATAAACAAATTTGCTAAGTAGGTATTCAACTTCTTTAAGAAAGGATGTAACATGGAGAGCAAAAGTCATTAGTCTAATACAACTGCTTGCAAAAAGGTTTTGGAATTCTAAACTAAAAAAAAAAATACACTTCCAAGGACTTGGAAAGAATATCAAGCTTCAAGGCCAAAGAATCTACTGCATATTAATCATCCTTATTGAAAAAGTTGATTGGGGTGCTAAAGACAAAAAATAACCTGTGTAATATGGAGAGTAAAAAAAGGCTGGGAAACTGCATGGCATGGTGGAATGGTGCTAAGCCAGGAAAGGAGATCTGCTGGTCTTGATTCTGTTACCAATCGGCATGGGAACTTTAGTCAGGAATTTCAACACCACAGACCTGGGTTTTTCCATGTTAGAAACAGAACCTCAGAGTCATTTTAAAACTTAGCCAAGGTAGCAGGGGACAGACAATGAGTTTGAAACTCTCCTTACAAGCAATACTGTAATTTTGCCTGCCAAAGAATCCTTTTTTTTTTTTTTTTCCTGCCCAGCTGCTATTCTTGAAGAAGACAGTCAACATGCTGTAACAGGAAGCTGAAAGTGGCCATTAAAATCTATATAGTCATGGAAATTCAGCTACTGCTCTCTGGGTCATCTCATCTAAAACCAAATGCACCTGAAAGCTTGACTTTAACTTATTTCCTAATTTTTAACTTTTTAACCTTCTGAATATGGAAGAGGATTTAGACAACAGAATGTCTGCATTTAAGATGAGAAGTCCACTGGGTATGAAGGGAATCTATGATTTCATAGCGTTGCCCTCAATTTTTCCTGACACATATTTCGAAACTCTGTGCTGTTTCCTACTGTCACTGGTGGAATATGAGCGCATTCCTTTCTGTTCACGTTCTGCACTGTCATCAGCCTCAGAACATGTGCTGAGACTGAGTCAAGAGGAGGAGGGCTGCCTGGAGGCTACAGAGAGGTGCTGGGCCTGGAGACCTGGCTGTTAAGATCTCTCAGGCTGTTAAGAATCTGCCTCTGGAAAGCTCACTGTTAAGATCGGAGCCCAGTATACAATTTCTAGGAAATTACCTCCAAGGATTATAAATTTACCCTTCAGACATTGGCCGGTTAGTTTGAGTGGTTGAACTGGTATACAGTGGTTGAACTGGTATACTGGTATACTGTATACATGCAGCCTACATGGGCTTTTAAAAGCTTCTATGGCTTTTTAAAACAGTTATCTTCTACTTATCTACACATGCAATGTGTCCAATGAAAGCCCATGCATAAAACTTTCAGATTTAGCAGAAAAGTTGATAGAACATACGGCTGGAAAATAAATTTCTTAAAAAAAAAAAAAAAGCACCCATGTTTAATGAACATTTTGATAAACTAATTCATAAAAACTTCAGAGCTGGGGAGTGTAGTTTAGTGGTACACTGTTTACAGTTTACCTAGCACAGGTGAGACCCTGCCCTCAATCCCATCTCCTTCCAAAGCTAAAATAAAAACAAACATACAAATGCTCTACTTTTTGAGGAGAGAAAAACAAGTAAGGGATGCATTACTACAACTGATTGCAGAATTAGCTCAAAAATCTCAGTGTCCTCACATCTAGCACTTATTTCATGAATGAGCACAAAGCACTATGGCTTTTTGATTGCTCTGTCATTTTTATGTTTCTTTTTTTTTTTCTCTCTCTCTCTCTCTCTCTTCAACAAACTAAGTTGTTTTTCTGTAGCTGTTGATGCTATGTTTAATGCAGTAAGATTGCAGCCTCATTCCTGTCTCCCAAGGAAAATCCTATTAAGGGTCACATCCCATGTACGGAGAAAACAACCTTCATGGATAATAATGATAAAACGTTATGGAATGCAAAAACAACCAAAATATGTATTCTCAGATGACTGCATTAGGGCCAAGTCAATATTAGTCCCACTTCACCCACGCACTGCACAGTCTAAAAATGCTGTCAGGCTGATAAGAATTTCCTGACTTACTCTTTTTCCAATAGGAAATATAGGTCAACAAAATAAACTCTCGGTTGAAAGAACAGTAGTGACGCTGAAAAGCCTCTTTAGTCGTACGGCCAATAACCGTCAAATAGTTCATAGGCTACAGAAAATTTCAAATATCAAATAAACCAATTTAGTCTGAGAAATATGTCAGTTTCCATGCACACCTCTCAACTAAATTCTTACAGTAGACTCAGGCCAATATCTTCTTAAAGGATGTCTATAGAAGCTCAGAATATAGCAGAAGCTGGGCATTGTATAACTTTGCAACACAAGCAGTTTAGGCTGTTTTGTGTTTTGTTTTTGATTCATTTGTTAGCTTGTTAGTTTTAGCAACAGAATGGAATGTGGGGTGGAAATGTAGGTCTATGGCAAAATGAGATAAAACACTCAGAGTCAATCCTCACTGAAAACTAGCTTTCATGATTAATGATTTTTTAATTTGTCTAACACAGCCTTTTGGTTTTTCTGGCTGAAAGAGTATCACAGTGCTGGCCTCTACTACAGACTCTTATTTTAATGGAATTAATTTTATGGTTCCCATAAAAGAAAACCATATTCACAACTTCTACTATTCCTTAGTTTTTCAGAAGAAAAAGGTATCTTTCGGAATATTTTTTTAAAAAAAATCTCAATCTCTTGCTCATCCGCATTCCTACTGGTAATTGAAGGCCTCCCAAGCATCAGAGCAAAGGCTGTTTCATGCAGAACTTGGTGTTACCAATATACAAGATCTCTTTGCCTCATGTGAACCTACAATACTATTATTTTGTGTATATGTCAAAGAAAACATGACCAGCCAAACTGTTTTCATTTGTCACCCTTGACCACAAAATATAAAAATGCTTGCCCATTTCTCCCATCAAACGTCAATTTGCCTTGACATGGTAAAGCCGTCTAATGTTAAAGTAAATAAAATAAATGCTTGCAAGAAAGTAGACTCTTCTCTCTTGTGCCACATTGGTGTTCGTTAAAATGGGGCTGTTTAGTGGGGAAGCCTGTACTTGAACCCTCTCAGAGTTAGCTAAATCTGACAGCCACTAAATCTTAAACAGAGAATATTAGTCTCTTTCCCAAAGAGAAGCCCTGCACTTCTAGAAAAGGGACAGGGGCAAAGAAAAAAAAAAATAGAAATTCAAGAGATTGCTACAAGGGTCAAACTCTGAAGGCCAGAATAAAAAACACAGTTCCTAAGAAATGAAAAACAAGTCGATAAATCCTGTAAATCATTATTTCCTAACTCTATCTTGCTGTATTTCTAAGTTTCAATGAAATTAGCCTACTCTAATCCTTGTAGTCGAAGGGCTCTGTCTCAGCCCAGTCCCTTGCCATAGGCACATGTGTTTTTAACGTAGTGCTAACTAAATTTTGGAGCACTTACTATGGTGGCCACGGAGTAATACCCAAGGATTCCCTAGCGTCAAGTTTTCCAGTGTTTACTCTTAACATCTCCTAGTTGCCAGGTCCTTTTTACCGACATTTTCAATGTCTTGGCTGGGTGGAGCCCAGGCATGTAGATAGATACTCAAGGCTACCTCTGGGCTGAGAAATACAGATCGGCTGATGGACACTGACAAGCTCTCTGTTTTGTTGGAAACAGAAAATGAATGAAGAGCGTCTCGGGCATCCGTATCTAAATCACGGCCCCGGGGAGAAAGGCAACGGAGACGTTCTAGAAACACCGAATGCGTCTTCCCTCAGACCAGAGTTCTACCGTAAACGTCCCAGTTCAGGTAATCTCTCCGACCCTAGTTGCACGCTTCCTCCACTTCCTCCACAAAACTCTGGAATACTCTACTCGCCCAAGGAGACAAAGTATTTGGGTTAAAAGTTTACTCACACAGTCCTAAGACAGATGCCTTTGGTGAGCTTCAGAGAACTGAGTCCTAAGGACCGGAGCAGCTAGGAGCAAGAGCCTCCGAGTCCAGGTGACACAGCTCAGAGAAGCCCTGGGGCAGGTAAAGCCTTTCCAGGGATCCCAGCCCTGCCTGCCATCCTCAGCTCTGCCCTTCCGGGAGCGTCTTTTTCTTTCTGTGGCTCCCTGGAGATCCCAGAGCATCCTGCGCGTCCCAGGTCCCGACGGGACACTGCGAGAACCCCACACCGATACCGGGTCCCCCTCGTCCCCGCCCCCGGAAGGCTGCCCGGCCGGTGACTCACCTGCTGGCCAGGTTGGGGCGCCGGGTGATAGCAGGCTGTAGGGCAGGTTGCAGCTGCCACGGGATTGGGCAGATACTGGGGAGCTCCATAAGGCTGGGGGTGATACATCACCTCCGCACAACTCATGGCAGCGGGGCCAGCGGCGGCCCCGGAGTCGCCGCCGCCGCTCTCTGCGCTGGCGCGAGGGGCGCCACCGCCACCGTCGCAGCAGCTGCCGTCCGCGTCGCTGCTCCAGCTGCTACTGCGGCGAAGGCGGGTCCTCGGCGGCCTCGGGCTCCGCGCCGGGAGCGAGCTCGGGAGGGGTTGGCAATCAGCGGCGGCCCATGCGCGGGCACCTTCATCTTCAGCCCCTCCGGGTGCCCCCTCTGTTCGCGCTTATATAGCGACGGGACGACGCTGCAGCCCGCCCCGCGGCAGGAGCATGACAGCGCTGGGCTCAGGCTCGGGTGGCAGCACCCGCAGCGGCTGCATTCACCGCAGCGCCATCCTCAGCCGTAGCCGGGCCCCGCTCAAGCTGCCCCAGGAGCCGAGCGATGCTTTGCATACACACAATGCACGCCCGGGACTTGTCCTATCACCAGCGCGGGCGGCTGGGCGAGGACCCGGAGGCGGGGGCAGGGGAGCCGGAATGTGGTGGGGTGGGGAGCTACCCTCCCCAGCTCGCAGGAGCAGTTTATCTGAAAAGTTCCACCAACTCAGGTCCGCAGCGGGCGGGTCGCCCAGCAGGGGGACCCTGGGGAGGGCGGCTGCCGATTGGAGCGAAGTTTGCAGCCCTCTCCGCCTCCCGGCGGCGAGCGATGCTGGTGGGAGGAGATTGGTATGCGAGAGGATCCGCGCCCTCAAAACTCCGCCGGTCTCCACCCAGTCTCGGTCACCTGGCCGCCTGGCCGGGATTGCCTAAGTCTTTCTCAGGGAGCATCAACTCCGATGATGCTAGACCCAGATCAAAGGAAGGCCAGATGTAAAGAGAGTTATAAAACAGGTTAGGGGAAAATTACGGTTTTAGTTCAAACATTAAAAATAAACCAAAGTGAAAGTTAATCCTGCCTTGAGTATCTACAGACCAGCAATACTAGTTGCCTTGCAGAATATTCACTTACAAGGCATATCTTTGTGGCCTGTCGTCATGGTGGGATAAATGTATATCTTTTCTGGCCTTTACCGAATGGCTTGAGTACAGCAAGAGAAAATGGATGGCTACTCATTTGGCTATGACCTAAAGGTGTTGTTTATGTGCTTACAACCTTCAACATAACGAAATAAAAACTCCGTTTTAAGAATATGATTATACTCCAGTACAATCATCAAATCTAACTCAACCTTTTCCTTTCTGACAAACAAAAATAATTTAGAACAAAGACCAAAAGGCCTAGTCTTTTTAAAAGAAAATAATATTTGATTGTCAAATGTTACCATAGAGTAAATCTCTCTCTCTCTCTCTCTCTCTCTCTCTCTCTCTCTCTCTCTGTCTCTCTCACACACAGACACACACACACACATGCACACAGGCACACCAAACTCATACTTTGAAGCCATTATACTCTCCCACCTCCATCACCTCTGCTTTGGGTGACAATTCTTTAAAGAGGTGATATATGCAAATATATATATGTAAGGTGTATATAGCCATACCTTACACACATTCACAGAAACTATAATGATTGTGTTGGGTACTTTTGCCATGCCGTAATGTGATTTCTTCATCCATTCATTATTTTATCAACCAAATCTTAAATACAATTGTTAAAAGTTTATGTAGTTCAGACTTTAAACTGTGCTCTTTCTGATGGGAGACTATTCCTGTCAAGGAGATGGAGAAGAACTTGCTTTATATGCTTATAACTCCTTTATCCCAAGTTGATATACCCTGGTTAAATACTTTTCCTGTGATCCACACTCATGGACTCAGCTTCCTTCCGGGCAGCTCCGAGTGGTTCAAAGTCTTAACACCATGCAACCACCCCTATTCCAATCTGAGCTTCCTCTTTTGGTAGCTATCACAGAAAATGAAACTCTGGCCTCCTGGCTGAACTAGGAATAACTGAGAATCTCCCAATATTCCCTCTTCTCACAGTGTCTGCATCTGCTGTTAACCTTTAGTACATCCTAAAATTAACACTTTCTTTAATGCTCTGGTTTTCCTGCTTATACCTTTAGTTGGTCCAGCCACTCTCAGTCAGGCTCTTGGATGAGGCTCATCACTCGTTCCAAGCCCCAGTATCAAACATCGTCTTATCTCTTCCTCAGGATTCAAACTGACCTAAGCCACAGTGAACTCAATAGAGCCTTGATGCTTTGTCTCACTTTTAAAAAGTAGTTTCTCACATGGCTTATAGTCCCAGTTCTACAACTCTCAAACTCTGCCTTCTGCTTATATTACCCTCTCCTGCATTCACAGCTCTCTGAATGAATGAAAACTCTTATTTTAAGAAAATATGGCTCTACAACTCAGCATTTGGGTTGGTTGTGATTTTCTGTTATTACCTCCATGTGCAAAAAGTACTTTCCTTGACAAGGAATGAAAACTACACTTATCTGTCCACATAAGGATGAATGTTGGTACAATGTTAGGGATTATGCTTGTTTAGTAAAGCAAAAGTTGTAGATTCTTCTTCAATAACAATACATCCACAAAACACTCCCACAACTAGGGTCAGGGGACATTTCAGAAGACGGAGCAGAAAGGCTGTAAAGAGTGTGTCTATCAGAAAGGTTGCACCCATAAAGTCTCATAACATGATAGTTTAAACAGGAGCAAAACAGGGGTGACACCAATGGATGCGCCAAAGTGAATAAGGAAAACTCCACGAAGCTTCAACCTTACCCAAAGAACCATGGGCACCAGGGGAAGTAGGGAGCAGGAGAGGTGATCCTCTCCAGGCAAGGGCACACAGATTGTCCAGTGTCAAATGGTCAGCCCTGAAAACATACATACAAGTAAAATTATATGGATGGAGTCAGTTTGATTTAGAAATATATATGTATATACATACATGCACGAAATAGCAATTACTGAAAGAAGAGGCCATGAATTTGAAAGAAAATTGGGAATGGCATATGTGAGGTGTTGGAGGGATGAAAGGGAAGGGGAGGGATGTAATTACATCAGAACCTCAAAAAATAGTGAAAAGGAAATGAAGAGAGAGCTTGGTATTTCCTACTATCATCTCTTTTCAGCACCAACAATCCCCCATTTTCCTCACTTGCTAACTCCTTCTAGTTTGTAAAGGATTTGTATCTTAAAATAATCAATGATGACAAGTTTTAATGTCTCCCCATCACAACCATGGCTGTTTCAGTGCAGGAACATGTGACTTTTATGACTTCCCAAAAATGTAATGGTCAGCTTTTTAAGAATCTATTGTATAAGGTATTTGATTTTTTTTTTTTTTTTAATCTCCAGTTGGTCTCTTTCTACAGCTCTGGGAATTGAACCCAGGGCCTACCACATGCCAGGCAAACACTCTACCAATTGATCTATAGCCCCAGTGCATAAGGTATTTAAAACACACAAAAAAAGTCCTCTTAGAATAATTTAAAAATTTACAAACTAGTGAAAGATTAGAGGGTGCATGGGATCATTAAAGATTACAATGTGGGAGCAAGGCATCAACCTGATCAAGTTTTATGTAAAATGAGAAATTCCTTTTACTGTGAGAAATCTTAGGACCTAGTGGATCAAGCTACTGAAATACAGCAAGAAGCTAACATTCAAGGACATCTTACCCCCAAGATCAGATATCCAACCCAACAATCTCAACAGCTCCAATGTTTACTTCAATACTATAATGTATCTTAGTTAATTAGTTTTTGAAAAGTGCCCTATCTTTTCCACAGGGCAATTGCAGAATTGACTCACTCCTTTGCCCTAAAATTAAGACGACAAGGTGTTCAGTGTGTGTGTTTACTAAGAATATGAAACCAGCATATAGTCCAAACTGCTGAGTCTGTGTCCTGTGGTTGGTTGAGTAAGAATGGACCCCATATGGTCATATGTTTGAATGCTTAGTCACTAAGAAATGAAACTTTTTGAAAGGATTAGAAGGATTAAGAGGGTGTCTTGCTGTGGGAAGTATGTCCTTGGGATTGGGCTTTGAGGTTTTTGCTAAGATTTTAACTGTCTGGCCCACTTTCTCCCTTGGCCTGTGGATCAGGTTGTAATTCTTAGCTACCACTCTAGTACTGTGCCTGTCTGCAGGCCATCCTGCTGCCCACCATGATGATAATGGACTAAACCTCTGAAGCTGGAAGTAATCTCTCAGTTAAATGCTTTATTTTATAAGAATTGCCTTGGTCATGGTGTCTCTTCACAGCAATAGAACACTGACTAAGACAGTGTACTATAAATATTCATTACAGGAAAAGATACTTTTTGGTACTAAAAAAAGGCCAAGGGCTGGATGTGTTTGCCAATTATTCTTAAAAGGAAATGACATTTTGTGATATTTTATTTCTATTCTGTAGTGATAGCAATGAAAGTTAGCATAAGAGTAAATTTGTCCAGAATTGGAATCTAGACAATGAATGGACCAAGAAGTGAGAAAGAAAAGTAACAACCCAAGCTTTACCCTTTGCTGGCTTGTTAAGAAGAATTAGAGAGATTCCTGATGAGGACTGTTAAGAGGGAGGGGTCTACAGCTGGGATACAAAGTGAATGAACTGTAATTAATATTAAAAAAATTAAAATTTAACTAATAAAGAGTCATCAGTTATCAGTCAACAGTTTATTTTATAGATAAATAAGCATATGGTCTAATGGAGATTTTAGGGGATTATGGGACAGGACTGACACAAGCACTTAGAGGTCTAAGTGCTTGGTTCAACTGTTTCCCATCATCTTACCATGGTCTTCAGGCTTGCCAATATCATGTCTAGCTAGAGAATCTTATCGAACATAGCAAAAGGGGAATCAAGATTGTAAGAAAATTGGCCTGATAACTTTAAACATGTATGACCAATATAACTAGCAGGGGCCTCAAAGGGAAGCAGGAGATAGGAGTTAATGTCATATATGACATATATATATACATATATATATATGTCATATATTATGTGTATCACATATTATATATAATATATAATGACATATATATATACAAAGTAAGAAAAAATTCTACATGCAGTCA